TCAATACTTTATCGCTAGTTTGGTGTGAGAAAAGTTTTTCCCAATCATTGGGATGTCTGTTTGTTTTTGTAATGTCTCTTTTGCTGTACAGAAGCTCTTCAACTTGATGTAGTCCCATCTATTTATCCTTGCCTTCACTATCGTTGCATTGGGTGCTGTATCTTCAAAGATGTACTGAAGTATATGTCATGTAGTGTTTTGCCCATCTTTGCTTCCAGGTATTTTATGGTTTCCGTTCTTATGTCTAGGTGTCTTTAATCCACTTCGAGTTGATTTTTGTGTATGGTGTGAGGTAGTGATCTAGTTTCATTTTTTTTTTTTTTTTGCATGTATCTTCCCAGTTTTCCCAGCACCATTTGTTGAACAAACTTCTTTGTTCCATTGTATTTTCTTTGCTCCTTTGTCAAAGATTAGCTGCCCATAAAACTGTGGGTTTATATCTGGGTTTTCTACTCAAATCGACTGGTCTATGTGTCTGGTCTTGTTCCAGTACCATGCAGTTTTGATTATTATGGCTTTGTAGTATGACTTGAAGTTTGGGATTGTAATGCCTCCGTTCTCCTTTTTTAGTCATGAGAGTTTTGGCTATTCGAGATCTCTTGTGATTCCATATGAATCTCATCAATATTTTTTCTGTTTGTTTGAAGAATGTGATTGAGACTTTTATTGGGATGGCATTAAATTCATATATCGCTTTTGGTAGGATGGCCATTTTGATGATGTTAATTCTCCCTATCCATGAGCAGGGGATGTCTTTCCATCTCATGGTGTCTTCTTGTATTTCTTTTAACAGTGTTTTGTAATTTTCTTTATAAAGGTCTTTTGCCTCTTTTGTTAAGTTGATTCCCAGGTATTTGATTCTTTTTGTTTTAATTGAAAAGGTGATTTTTTTTTTATTATTTCCACTTCTTCTGATTGGTTATGTATAGGAAGGCCTCTGACTTTTGTGTGTTGATTTTATATCCTGCTACCTTACTAAACTGGTTGATGGTTCTGATTAGTTTCTCTGTGGAGCTTTTAGGGTTTTCCATGTAAATTAACATGTCGTCTGCAAATAAGGACGATTTTACTTTTTCTTTCCTTATTTGGATTCCTTATATTTCTTTTTCCTGTCTTACTGCTCTGTCTGAGCCTTATTTTTAAAGATATCAGTTTATTAAGAATTGATTCTAAAACTTTTTAAAATGCTACATCCTGGGAATTCCCACCAGGTAAAGTAAGCCATTTGTGAATTTTCAATTAAAAATGGTGAATCATTTTCTTTTCCATTTTTAAGTATTTATTTATTTATTAATAAAGACAGAACTGGGGCACAGGCCAGAGCTACGGGGACAGTGAGAGGATTCACCAGAAATACAGTGGCGAGCAGAATAGGCAGGTTGAAAAAGTACACTGCTGAAGGTAGCAGTGTGCAAGACAGGAGAGGTCAGCCTCACCATGGGGCAGCTCCCTGGCCAGGAATCAAACTCATACTGAAGCCGCTACCGCTAGCTTCATAGAGTGGCATTTTAACATATTGCCCCATCAGGGAGGGCCCTCTTTTCTATGTTTAAAACAAATATGATTACAGATATATTTTTAGAGACTTTATTTACGCATACAGAACTGGGGTACAGGCAAGAGGTGCAGGGGCGGTGAGAGTATTCACCAGAGAGAGAGTGGGGAGCAGAACAGGCAGGTGGACAAAGTAC